AACACTAAGAAATACTAGATTGTTGACATTAGAAGGACATGATGTCAGCTGGTGCTCCATTCAAAATCCAAGAAAGAAATACTTAGACTCTTTTAATTAGAGAAAAGATATCTTTTACTGGAAATGAAGTGGTAGCAACAAGAGAATTCCGAATCTGAGGAAATAGGCATGTAAATCACATATACAAAGTGATGGAAATGTTCCCACTCCCAATAGTTCAAATGGTTCTTCCAATTAAAAGTTGTGAATAACATGTGGACATCTTCAAGTGATGATGGAGTTTCTGTCCGTTGACCTGGGCATACTGTGATAAAGGTTTGCAGCTGCGCAGAGAAAAGAAAGCTAAGCAAGGAATAGAAACTTAATAGAAACTTAAGAATGCACTCTCCCCGCTCCTCAGTTTATACAATGCTTATTTATACCACCTCCAGCTCGCTTCCCATACTTGTCCCCCCTCCTTCCCCCCGTTACATATGGCAGCCGAAAAATGCAAAGCAAAGGTAGAAGATCTTGAAGGCTGACACATGGTATAAAGGAACTAAAACACAGGGGTACTTTAGAAGACATTATATATGTGAGTCTCTGTGGTTAAACAGGGAGAAGATTAAAAGACAATGTTATTTGAAAATTCCAGTCTGGCTATCGACTATTGAAGTATTTTCTTATCCTATAATATACAAAAAGGAACAAACAGTTAGATATGGTGAAATATTGAATGAAAAGGGTGAACTTAAATCTATACAAAAACTAGAGGAACAAGGTATAAAGATGAATTGGTTTTCATATGCACAAATACATTCAAGGTATGATAAAGATTCTAAAACAGAAGGTTTCTATGATAAACTAACTGACTTAGATAAGTTTTTGACAGGAACTGATGAAAAGGTGATTAAAAAATTGTATGGATATCTATTAGAAATTAAACTAGAAGAAGAACAAGTTAAAGAAACTATGATTGCTTGGGGGAAGAATTTTGGATATGGGATTGATCTAGAGAAATGGCAAAAAATGTAGTCTCAAAATTATAAAATGACAATGTCAACAGCATATAAAGAAAATTTGTATAAGATGTTTTACAGGTGGCCTTTTCCCCAGACAAGAATAGCAAAATGTAGGGTTCCAGTTTGCAAGGCTTTGGCGGCGGCAGGAATCCGCGATCATGCACGGTTCCTGCTGCGCTCGCCGCCAAAGTGCGTCCGATCCAGGTGGATCTGGAGGATATGGTTGCCCCGTAGAGGCAACCGAAGATAGAGGAGATCCGGATAGGAGTTTGGGGGTATCGCAAACCCCCTCCTCAGCCGGCTAAACTCCTTTTTCCCAAGGCGGCAGAGCGGCAGTCAGCAATGGCCACCACAAAGAAGCCTGCAGCCGGGTAAGATTGTGCAGGAGGAAGTTGGAGAAAGTGAAAGTTTTTTGGCTGAACCGGGACAATAAGGAACTTTTAAATACCCTGGATATATATTATGAGTTAATAATGCATTAAAGGGAATGTATAAAAATGTCTAAGATTTAAAAATAGAGTTTAACTTTCTATGGAATATTGTTTTTACTATCTTATAAACTTAATTCTCTTTTTTTATTATTATTATTCTAAAATGTAATACTTAGAATGTACTAAGCAGAATCAGTATGGAAAGTATGTATTATTTTGTTAAATTTAGGGGAAAGATAAAAAGTTGTCATACTTCAACCAGTCATTACAGGAGAAATATTGCATTAGAAAGAAAAGATAAATAGATAATTGAAAGAGAACGGACAAAAGATGCAAGTATAATTATCTAAATTGAGATGAAATAAATAAAATAGAGTGAATGAAGAAAGAAAATATATAGAAAATATAGAATGTTAAATAAGATATGAAATAGTATATTCAGTGAGCATGAATTTGATTTATGTCTGTACAAAAAGATATAACCCGGGGTAAGCCGCTTTCCAAAAAGAAGTTTTATGTATTTATGTTTTGTGTTTTGTTTGTCTATGTTTGAATTAATAAAACGCTAGAAGAATGTTGGAAGAGAATAACGAAATTGTAAATAAGACAGATGGATACAATGAATATATACAATTCAAGGCAAAAGAAATATAATTGAATAGAAGGAAAGGGAGAAATAAAGAGAAGTTGGGAAAAGATATGAAGTTGAACAGATAAGATAAATATACATATTAAACTGTGCTTGTATGGAAATGTGATAATTTGGAATTATCCTGTCTTTAAATAAGATGTTTTATTTGTTTTTCAGAAAAGATGTCCTATGTTATTATATTCTACGTTTTGTTTGTGTATTGTTTTTAAAGATTAATAAAATTTGTTTAAAAGAAAAAAGAATAGTTCAAGAATAAATCCAAAAAATGTTGGAAATGGCATCAGACACCTGGCTCATATTACCATATGTGGTGGATTTGTGCAGATGTTAAAAAATACTGGACTAAAATCCACACGTTTGGAAAAAATGACAAAAAAACATAGATTTGAAACCAGAGATATTTTTATTGGGAATTTTACCTGAAATATATAGTAAAGACTTGAAATACCTGATTGTAAATGTATTAACAGCGGCTAGGATTGTATTTGCTAAAAACTGGAAAAATGAGAAAATACCATTATAGGAGGGAATCATTAAGAAAATATTAGAATGTGTTGAAATGAGTAGATTGACATTTGAAATTAGAGAACAAGATGATAAACAATTTTATAAAATTTGGGATCTATTTTATCAATGGTTAGACAATAAAATATAGTAATGAAATATATAGACTTTTAGAAAATAATAAATATATAAAGATGTATTCTCTTCTTATTATATCTACAGAATGATTCTAGGATAGATCTGGGATAATAATATGAATTGACATAAAACAAATTAAGTAAAATATGATCATTTTGTAAAACATGAATGAATAAAAGTATAGTCAAATGATTGATTAATAATGATATTAATGTATTTAATATTTGATTGAAAATACGAGATTATATACAATGTAATTATAACTGAAGACTATGAAATGGAAGCACAAAACAATTTGTAAACCAACCAGCACACTGTATATATATATATGGAAGACGACTTGATGTTTTTTTGTTTTATTTATTTATGTTTGTTTTAAAAACCAATAAAAAATTTTAAAAAAAGAAAAAATAAGCAACGCTATCTGTAGCAACAACTTGGGTGGATTTGCACATTATAGAAGGCTAAATAAACTGATTGGCCTCAGTTTATTATGTTAAGCAAACATAGCTAGTGGGATAGAAAGGGCACCAGCCAAAAACTTAATCTCACTCTTTTTGTCCCTGTTTAAAAACATTTGAAGGATTGTTTCCTCAGAATTTAAAAATGTTACCTAAATGACCTAACCAAAGTTATTCATCAACTATAAAAGGATGAATTAGTCCCAGGTCATATGTACAGCCAATCTCGTTTCTTGTAGCTATCTTCAGAAATACTATTTATATTGTAATTCTGCAATCTATCAAAACCAAATAGCAAAAGCTGTCTAAAAAAACCTAAACTTGATGTTTAATTTAACTGCAAAATAGCTTCCAGCTAGTCCAAATGTTTAAAAGAAACTTCTATTATTTTTTGCATGATGAATATTTGTTTTTATAAATCTGATATTTTTATTTGCTGCTTCTAGGCAATTAAATGCATCATCATGCTACTCATTTGATATTGTTCCAGATTAAAGAAAGCCTTTTCCATATTTTAAGAATTATTTGTACACAGCATTGGCAGTTCATTGAAAATTCCATTTATTTTTAATGAAGCAACTCTCCATTTAAAAAATGTTTTGTTTGAAAATGGGTTAGTAAAAACACATAAAGCATATATTTAGGAGAAAAAAGCATTGTTCATTGAAAAATAAGCATTAAATTTCCAACCAAATAAGAGCACATTCATTTTTAAAAAAATACCCAGAATGGTATTACTGTACTTTATTTATCTATGGCTTCTTTTCTCTCACTCCTCAAACAGAGGCCTGTAAATAGCATCTTCTCCATCAGGCCAAAGGTCTATGCATCATGTTACCTAACAGCCACGTATTACCCTACCAAATTAAGTTTCACTAAAGAGAAAATAAAATTCCACCAGGCAGATCTGGATGAAGAAAGGCAGAAGGTATAAGTATTTACATCCCATTTTTAATACTATGATGCAGATTACAGGGAACTTAATAGGAGACCTGCCTACTAGTATGTATATTTAGGTGTGCAGAATTACAGTGGAGCTTATTTATTCAAACTTGAACATCATTAAATTGAAAATAAAATTTCAATCCAAGCCAGAGAACAAGCCTCCTTTGACTAAGACCACTTCAAAATAAATATTCATAGAAAAGGCTGTAATAGCTAAATTAAAACTTAATCCTTTATATATTTAGCAGGGACTAAACCCTTATAGCTCACATGGTTCCTTTCAATATTATTAAATTGCTACTGTGTAGGCCAAGGGGGGATATTACACTACCTGGTCACATGATCCACCCATGTTTAACTCTTACATGTCTCTTCATTAAATCTGACTACAGCCTTTCTTTACAACTCAGTGGAACCACTTGCAACAGCTTATTCAGCTGCTCCTGATCATTTAAGAGCTGCTTCAGAGTAAATCATTTACCTTATTAAACTCTTGGGGTTGAGACGATAATTAATTGATGGGTGTTAACTGTTTAATTTTGTTTCTTGGGAGTGTTAAAGGCATAGGGAAAAAAGGAAAGATTATCTTTATGAAAGATAGAAAAGGGAATCGTTGTATTAAAATAAGAAAAATATGTGATCTAAATTATAATTGTGTAGTAGATTATCAATGGGTCTTTCACTTTAGGAAGTGTACCAAGACTTTTGGTCGGAAAAAGCCCACAGGTGATTCAAACAAGCAGCCTCTTTCTAATGATTAGCAAGCAAATGGCTACAAGAACACCTGTGTCTAATTTACAGATGTATCAGACCTTTTTTTTTCTTTGTGATAAAAGGGGATGCTTTCTTTACTTCCCTCCAGGTTGTCTCTTTTCCCTTGTCTGTTTTGTGCTAGGAAGGAGCTGTGCTGTGCTGTGCTGTTAAGAGTTTAGAGCCTGTTTTTTGCTTGACCAGGATCCTGTGAAAATATGGGGACAGTAGAGAAGGTGTTTTGCAGGTAAAATGGATTTAGCAGAAGTTTTTTCCCCTTTTTTCTTTTATTCGATTGTAGTCCTATGCATCTGCATCTGAATATGCATGTGAAGCTATATTTATGTGTCTGTGTGTGTCTGTGTGTGTCTGTGTGTGCATAAACATACATTCTTTTTTCTCTCTTGTACAGAATTTTGCTGCTTCTTTTACTACAGTGTGAAATAGGTTGGATGCAAGAAGCAGTAAATTCTCCAGGTTGGTGAACTCCAAGTAGTGTCTGCAGTTTCCTAACTTAAATCAGGAGCAGGGCTACTACTAGCCTGCATAAGGCACTTGAAATAGTCAAGGGACACAAGGGCTAATCTTGATTCCCCCACCCCTATATTTTTCCTGAGACCTTCCCCAGCTATTCTCCTTTGCTAGTGGAGATAACTATGAGCTGCATGTATATCATTCATGTCCCTGAACAGCCTGCAGCCCTTGGTGAAGAACACTCTACTCTGGTCCCAACTGAAACTGCATTTCCACTCTGTCAAGAATTTGAGGCCTACGATGTGGCCTTACACAACTATACCTTTCAGCCAACTTTTTAGAACTTTAGAAACTGGAGAATTAACGTTGTGACCAGATTATGTCTTTTATAGCTAAGTTTCCTCAATCCCTTTCTAGCTTTTATAGAAAGTACCTGCCTCTCCAGCATATTTTGGGTGAAGCTAGACAAGTCCTTTCTTCAGAAGAAGTTTTTCAAGATCGAAGTAATTGGTGAGCTATCTGAGATGTTGGAATATTGCTTATACTTGCAACTTGAGCAGGAACTTTTAATATTTTCAAATTAAAGCTTTCTTGTAATGAAGGTTAAGATGAACATGTGCTTAGCTTTCCAATTCAGATAGATCAATCATGTTAATTTGAGGAGTATCTTGGGGTCATAAATATGGGAGAAGTGGGTGGAAAAGATTTAATGTAAATATTGTGACTTATGTCCTTGGGTCAGATGCTTGGACCCTAGTCTAAACCTGGGATTTGTATATTGACATCACTGCAGGCCTACTATCATTCTCCATTTGCTGAGGTCACTGCAGGAATAATTAGTTATGCCATGGGGGTCAAATTGCTCTGGAATTAACACATTCAGACTCTAAACTGGTAGTGAATAGTAATAGAAATATTATCTGTGATCTTAAAACATAGATTAACTATTTGCTTTATATGGCGACCAAACAGCAATAAAATTGGAATTAAGGGTGCTGAAAGTAAATCCCCACTTACCATCAATAATTGGGAGCAGCAACACCATTGCCAAACAAAATATATGACTATGCTGACCTACAAAGGCAGTTGCAGCAGTTCTGGTTGCTTGCTGGTTAAGTGAATTCCATGCTGTTAATACAATATATGATCGCCATTTGCTGCCTTCTGTCAGCTTTCCCATTGACTTTGCTTTGTTGCAAATGGTGATCACATGACAGTAAGATGCAGCAAACACTGCAATGGCAAATTGTTTCCCAAGTGCCCAAATCATAATCACATGACTAGGAATGCTGCAATGGCTGCACCTACAAGGAGTGGTTGTAAATCTTGTTCAGCAGTGTCATAATTTTGACATTTGCTGAATGAGTGGCCATTAAACAAGAACTTAGCTATAAATACCTTAGGAGAGAAAAATTAAACCAGAACATATTGATAATCATTGTATTTTAAGCCAGTATTTTAAAAATGTCATGAAACTAAGGAATGGGTAGCTCATCAAGTTCCATAAAGCATGTATAAGAAGACTGAGGTGTTCCTGAACATCTATTTGTATACTGCATGAGTCAAAAAGAGGGCTGTGGAAATATTTACAGGCTCCTCATATCCTGGACATAAACTATTTCAACTCCTACCCTCAAAACAACACTATAGAGCGCTGCACACCAGAACAACTAGACACAAGGACAGTTTTTTCCAGAACACTTAACCAGGGGTCTCCAACCTTGGCAACTTTAAGCCTGGA